CATTAAAATGGTTATATCTGCATGTTAAAATGTCACAAACACTAACTTTGGTCTGCTGCATGGTCAGTCTCAAGGTGTATGCAGTATAGCGATCACATTTCAAAACAAGCTGTTCTGAGTGACTAGTCTTTACCTGTCCATAATAAAGCAGAGGGAGGGGGAGCATTTGCCTGGCTCAGTTCACCTCCTGAGCAGTGAGTGAAAGAAAACAGGAAGTTGAGTGTGAATGAGTGTGACGTAAATGGAGCGGTGAAAATAGGCCATCTTTTCAATGTGACAAATTTAACGGTATGTTAAAGAACTGATTGAGCTGTATAAATCTTACCAACATCAACAGGGCTAGTGAGTGTCATGTCAATTTTACTTGTAAATCATGATACCGTGACCTGACAAAGAGATGTTTGCAACCCATTTTACTTTCATAATCTGATGTATTTCCAAGTGTAAACTGTAGGGGCAGGACTTGATTTAATCTATTGGGAATTGATTGGATCTCCAAAAGTAAGCGTTACGCAGCAGAATCGAGACAGACCTAATGTGAGTTAGCTAAAATAATGCCTAAATACTTATTTTGCTATTCACATCCAGTGAGTAACGTGGACGGACAAGCAAAATAATTTCAGAAGAAGAGCAAATTATTATTTATTGATTTAAAGATTAAGAAGACAAATTATTTTGTCTTTGTAATAACATGCACTAAGGAATCGCTCACAATAACACAGAGAACATGCATTAATTTGGGGCAGTTTGATTTTACTTGATTTTAAGCACTTTTATTTATGAAATTTGCTTTGATTTTCTCTCTTAGAAAGACTTTTTTTTTCTTTTTTCCTTGTTGATGCTTTTTGGGTTATTTGTTGATTTGTAGATCAATAAATTAATGTAAAGTCCCTATTGCAACTTGTTTTCTATTAAATGAACATTAACAAGCAATGCTTGCAATAAAAAACACAAGTGTCTACAATTAAACCTTCAAAGAGATTTGAAAGCTCTTAAATTTAAGTGAGAGACTAAGCAAGTGCCTAACCAAACCTAGGTGGGACTTTAACGTGAAGCAGTGCGGTACCTTCTTAAATATCCTACAGATGGATTATTCAATCAGAGCAATGTTAAATGTAAAAAAACGTAAAATCAATGTAATTGTTTCCACACTCAGCGCTTGTGCTTGTGTGCCTAACACTCCTGTATTTGACTGGGTGTGTCTAGTATGGGAGGTGTTAATGCTGAAAGAAGGTGAGTGCACAGATGTCCTAAAGATGTGGTAACATTTTTCTTTAAGATGAGACCGTGGGGTTCAAGGTGGTCTAAAGAAGCTCAGCTTGTTATAATAATACCTTAAACCAGGTATTGTTACACCTATGGGCTTCTCTCTCTGTTGTGTTTGGAGTTGAGAGGGTTGAGGGCAACGTCAATGCTTTGTGAATGTGAAAAGGGATTTCGGTGTCTGTCTTGATGGAGTAGGTGGAGGAAGGCCTCAGGCACTTTGAAGGATCAGACCCCACACCAAACATAAACAAAGAAGTGTTCTTCACCTCCAGATGTCCTCACTCACCCCATCAGAATTTAAATGCTCCTATATATAATCTGCAATGATATGATAATCTCTAAAAAAAATGTTCTAGAAAAATACTTTTACAAATTAGGTGTCCATTATAAAGTAATCCATAATGTTATTTAAAGAGAAGTGAACAGTCAAATTAGACAGTCTTAGGGCAGAAACAGTTGCTTAAAATTAGGTTCACAGTCTGTATAGCTTTAAAAGTTATGTATTAACCTTTTACAATAAAAGTGCTGTATATTTTAAGGCCACGTCATGCCAGGAAACTATTAAAGGTATAATTCTGTCATCATTTACTTATATTGTACTAAATCTGTATTCTGTTTTTTTTTCCCCCATGGAGACTTTTTGAATAACTGCTACACAGTAGTTCTTTTCCATACTTTTCCAAACTACAATCCATCATCAAAACATTCAGGTTTGGAACGACCAAACTGTTGATCAAAATGATCAAAACCTGAATGTTTTGAAGTAATGATGAGTATATAAAGCCAGAATATTAATTTTTCAGTGAACTATCCCTTTAATATTTGACTAATTATGTCTGTCTTTTGTTTTGTTACCCCCTGCATATTGCCATCAAGTTGCAGCAGCTGAAAATGAGCTGAAGTGTGAGAGTGAGAGTGAGGCAGATGCCATGATGCACCCTGAATCTGAGCTCTCTGTCACAGGCCAATTAGACCAGCGGTGTCAGCCTGCTTCAGAGCAATGTAACATACAAACATAAGCCCATGACACCACACTGTTAGACCCTGTGCTCAAACAAGCAAAAAGTTATAGAAATTAAGAGGGGAAAGGCTATTTGTGGTCTTTTTGGTGCTTTCACTGTGACTTTATAAATTGTGTATAGTTATTTCTATCATGACATCTCTGAAGATTTTAGCATGGTAATGGATATGACAATGTTAGTGTATTTGCGGAATTAGTCTTGGTGGAATAGATCTGCTACGCTGCTGAATTGCTTCTGCTGTTGGTCGTTGCTGTTGTTGTAGATTATTGCTGCTGCTGCAAAGCAAGTATAGGAACTTGCTGCTGCCAACACACGATACGGTGCTGTGAGTATTTAAGACATACTGCTGCCACACAAATAGCATATAAAATAACCCGTAACACATCTATACAGGTGGAGCTGGGGAAGGTGGAGGGTTTCCACTAGTGGATGCGAACCAGCCATTTAATTGTAAAGCAGCAAGCTTATTGGCTGTGTATGCAACATGAACCAATCAGCTTGTGCCAAGTAGTTTAAGGCTGTGAATATCATCAGTTTGCATTAACGACCCATCTGCCTGCGCCATCTAGAGTTTCATGACAGAACCTGGCATTTATAAAAATTTATTTTACACTAGGACTTAATGTGATTTAGTGACAGCTATACGTTATGAAAAAAAGTTATTTTGCTTAATTTCAAATACAAAATTTGCCCTCATTGTTATTGTTGACGTTGCTGAATGTTTTAGTTATATTTGTGGATTCATGTGGTTCCTAACAGCCTCTATTGGCTTTTGCAGCATTGTTTTCTTTAATCATATACTGTAGCTACAATGAAGATGGTAGTTTTCTATTCATTTACTTTGTTGACGCCCTGACTTACAGGAACCCTCCAAAATTACAGGGAGAATGTATACAACAAAGACCAAAACATAAGGAAATAATATGTTGAACATGGAAAATTACATGGTGGATTTTACTAAATATTGTAAAATGGGTAAGACATCAAACTGAATGTATGGAATAGCTGTATTGTAATGGGCTGTAATGCAGTGTATTATTGAATTTATGTTATAGTAATAGCTATGCACAGCATTCACAAAATTACTCCTACTATTTGTACAGTACATTTAATTTGTGTAAAGAGTTTTACATTTATATTTTTCCACAGTTCCCAAGTTTTGCATGCATGATTTGACATACTTCTAAGTGACATAGGATATTTAGCAAGAAAGACCATATGGCAAATGTGAGTTTGTTAAAGCATTGCCTTAATATCTCTTTGGCTTTTGGCTTACATTATCTAATAGCCCACACAGTCATTACATGAGCAGAAAAGAAAAGTAATTTCAGAGGAAGAAATAAAGTAATTATATTATGATTATAGATTACAAAGACATTAAATGAAGAATAACAACTGACCAATTGACTTTTATTTCTGTGTGCATGTAAAGAATCCAGATTCATTCCTTAAATCTCACATCTCCTTTGCACCTAACAGCATTCTCTGGCGAAATAAAGGGACCTTTGTTTAGAGTAGGGAACAGGTAACCATTTGTGCAGTGTGTTTGTTGTACAGATGTGGGTATAGTTTTTATCAGTAGAGGGTCAGATTGTGTTTTTGCTTGTGGATCATGTTGAATCATGCAGTTGGATTTAGCTGAGTGTACATTCAGCTTTAAAAGAGAAACTGAGATGGGGGAGACTCAGGTTCTTTTGTGTCCTCTCAAAAAAAAAGAAATACATGTACAGATGTTGTTTGAGGGTTTAAAGATTAGCAATAGTTAGTTTCAAAACTATCACATTAAACAATGATTTATTTAGTTTTACATTATATTTGTTGGTTGATAACATACAGACACCTAAATTGCATGTAAGGTAGAGTTTAAGGCACCTAGGGGCAGCCCAACTAGCATCCTCTGGTGCATTTCACCTCCAAGTTTAGAAAACATCTTTCTTTATTTCATGGGTCAGTGAATAAGGCAGATGTGGGTCATCAGCACTGACAGTTTGCTGAGCCTTCATTGCTTTAATAGCCCAGGAAATGTCATAGCTCAAGCTATCTCAGGCTTGCCTGTCCCTCAGGGCAAGACACTGAATACTAATAAGCGTTGCTTCTCCCATGACCTAGATTTGTTTGGGTAAATAGAGAGCTGTTTGGAAATATGTATGAAAAAACTCTTCCAAGATGACCTTCTCAGTCAGGGTCCTTTTCGTGAAGCATTCCATCTCAGGTATAAGCTGCTAGCAAGTCTAGACACTTGCCCATTATCATAGTTGGAGAGAATGGAGTGTCCTCGTATGACTGCCTTGATACCTTCATGCAGAAGCTGCATTACAGAAGCAGTTTTGAGTAAGGAATCCAGCTGTAAATGATGTAGACAAGTATAGAGGATTAGGGCGGCATGCTGCGCTCTTTAATTAGAACAGGAAGATGCAGCAGCAGCGACTGAGCCAAGTCTGCCACAGGGGGAAGAGCAGAGCCTGTTCAGAGAGACTTAACTTTACCCAGTGGAACACCAAATCCACTAAGAACTGCAGAGAGGAGCCAAGCTTTACTGTGCATAAATCTGTGCTGGCACAACAAAAACATTGGCCAGAGGGATCTACTCCACTGTGCTCAAATTTGGAGATGCAGCGTCTGTCAAGACAATAGTTATGTGGGTGATAGTTATGCAAGTTATAATATCTTAAATTTTTTTCTGTCTGTTTTTCTTTCCTAATTTCTGTGCAGTACCCATGTGCCTCTTGAGCCATGCTCCCCGGCTATGGATTCTCTCCTGTCCTTGATTTCCAGCCTCACCTCCAAGTGTTCCATTGCAGAGGCGAGAGCTCTGACATGTGGTTCCCAGGCTCAGTTGAGACCCAGGCTCTGAGCGACTCTAGGGAAGGCAGGCCTCTCCTGCGACAGCATCAACACATTGCTGTGTGTCAGCAAGAGACGTTGGCCTTCATTGACCTTCAACAGCCAAGCGTTAATGGTTTCCAATCACACACACTGGAAAATTGTAGTTCCTCTCTTTGCTCCAAGCCTGTCAGATGCAATGGAAATGGTCCATCTGATTTTGTCGAGAATGGGAGTACAGACACAACACTGGACAATTATTTGACCCAGGATACCAATAATGTGGAAGGGGTTCAGGATCAGATGTGGACACCCATTACTGTTTTACCTGAAACAGTTTATGAAAAACCTGAACCAGGAGTTAAGGGTCTCAGTTCTCGAGACTTGTTTCTGCCTCTATCCCCTACATATGAACCTGAGAACAGGAACTCTTTGGAGCCTCAGCAGCTAAGCTCCCCCCCTTCCCCCTTAGATTTCCAGAGTCTGGACCCATTTCGCCTTCAAAGACGCACCTCTTTGGGATCCATAAAGGAGAAGTCCATAAGTAAGTGCCTCTTTCAATTAAGCCTTGACACATTGTTCCTACATTCCTGCTTTAAACAACAAATAGTTTGTCACAATTAGGGATATACCGGTATCAAATTCTCATGTTGCGATTAATTGCTAATGCTTTTATCACGGTATACGGTATTATCCCGATATTGAAATTTAGTTTAAAAAAAGTGCTGTCATAATACAGTATAACAGGTTTAATAACTTTTTTCTTATAACAAAAATAACTGAACATTTAAATGCAATAAAGCAATACAGAAAAATGTATAAAGTTAAAAGTTTTACACAGATTAAAGTGCAAAAGAACTATAAAGACCAATAGGTATCACTTTACAATAAGACCTCATTAGTTAACCTTAGTTAATGCATTAACATTCACAATGAGCAATAGCTACATTTGCTACAGAAGTTATTAATCTTTGTTTAAAAAATACAAGTCTTAGTTCATGTTAGCTCATTAAATAACACAATTGCAACTTTCGATTTTAACAACGTGTTATTAAATATTGTAATTACCTAAGATTAATGAATGTTTAGAAGAATTTTTCATTGGCAGTTTATGTTAACTAATGAA